GTTATGATTATGTCAAATATTTAGGTGTGTATATAGAAAGGTGGAAGGAGAGTATTGAAAGGTTTTTAAAGTTCTGCTCCAGAAAGCAGCACTATCACCAATTTCAGGCTAAGTCAAACTTGTTGCCATGGAAATGCCAAAAATATTTTATTCAGAATTCCAAAACTACCAAAAGGCACAAATACACCACCAGATCTATCTATGTGCCAAGTTTGGTGAAGAAACATTGAACGGTTTTAGAGTTCTGCTCCGGAAAAGAGCACAACCACCAATTTCAGTCTAAGTCAAACTTGTTGCCATGGAAACGCCAAAAATATTTTATTCAGAATTCCAAAACTACCAAAAGGCACAAATACACCACCAGATCTATCTATGTGCCAAGTTTGGTGAAGAAATAGTGAACGGTTTTAGAGTTCTGCTCCGGAAAAGAACACAACCACCAATTTCAGTCTATGTCAAACTTGTTGCCATGGAAACGCCAAAAATATTTTATTCAGAATTCCAAAACTACCAAAAGGCACCAGTACACCACCAGATCTATCTATGTGCCAAGTCTGGTGAAGAAACATTCAACGGTTTTAGAGTTCTGCTCCGGAAAAGAGTCCTACCACCAATTTCAGGCTAAGTCAAACTTGTTGCCATGGAAACGCCAAAAATATTTTATTCAGAATTCCAAAACTACCAAAAGGCACCAGTTCACCACCAGATCTATCTATGTGCCAAGTTTGGTGAAGAAACATTGAACGGTTCTAGAGTTATGCTCCGGAAAAGACAAATGTGCACGGACGGACGGACGGACGGACGGACGGACGCACGCACGGACGGAGTCCATTTTAATACCCCCCGCAAAACGCTTTGCGGGGGATAAAAATAGTAATCAATGCGTCGTTGATTAAACCCGTGATTAAACTCATATCCGCCTGTAACACTCAACAACCTAGCAACACGATGTTTACGGTGCCCATTTACAATGTATTAGATCTCGGCCAATCAGCTTCATTCAGTCTGCAGTAAATACTATTTATCAGCCAATGAAATAATTCATTATATTTCAGCTCACAGAAGGTCTAAGCTGGTTCCCAAGCTGGTTCCCGGCTCTCTTTGCGCTCGCTAACTTTCGTCGCATTGCGTTGCGTATATTGCGATAAGCGAGATGGGGCCCAGCTTAACACATGGTCGTAAAGCATGGCAGATGTAGGTAGACCAAACGAAAGATGCCATTAGCGTGTTTTAGGGAGATGGGGGATGATGAAAAAATAAACTAACGACAGAATACACCTTCCAAGATCCATCAGAATGCAGAGGGATAATAGACGCTTGGCAGAATAATAAATGTGGCCTATAACACGCCTTTTATATGTACAAAGCACATGCTCAAGGTGTTGACATGTTACCTTTTCTTACTCCTGATAACCCATGCGGCCAAGAGGCGCTAGAAAGTTGAATAGCCACATGATTTATTCCACCAGGTACCCACTTACCCTGCTAGGTTATATAGAGGCAAGTTGAATAAACTCACTTGCCTGTATTTAGTGACTGGATATCGGTCTTGTTTCCAACCTAACGGTATATCGCCCGTGCCTCCCGTGGAGTGCTCAGCTGAAAATGCACGTGTCATCCCCATTATCTGATTCATTCACCTGACCGTGACCTGGTCCGACTCATGTGCTACCTGAACTGCCGTCGCCTCGTGGGTCAGCGGATTGATTTTGAACCGTGGCCTCGAATATAGCCATGGTGTTTCTAATTCAGTAATAGTAATAATATTAATACTGAAAAGTTATATATCGTGAAATCCAACCACGAAGTGGATGCTCAGGCGCTTCAAAGTGAGGTTTGAGTTAATAGTACAGTGAAAGAGATGTGTTGAAAGATGTGAATTGAACGCAATAAAAGATGGAAACCGTTTATAGCAAGGAACAGTCTATTCCACAGTGATGGCGCGCAACCAAACTTAACTAGCTCCCTCTGTGGTTGATACTCGACTACCCATGTATAGAGTAAAGAGTATCTCAGCTGCCTACAGGTATAGACACTAAACTATGGCTCTTGTCGGCGTCATACGATTTACTATACGACTGACGATCCCGTGGGAGGCACCCGACCACGGTCAATGCCGTTGGGCTTTGCGACTCTGACCCCACCATGTGGAAAAAAACAAGTGCATGCCAAGCGGGCTTACTGATAGTAGGGTCAAACGCAAGCGGTTGCCCACCCCGGGACTGACAGCAGGTCAGACCGGTCGACCTCGTCGACATAGTCTGTGTCAACCTGATCTGAGACATATCCCGTTATGCCATGCCACTAATCAGCCGGACTACCTGTGGCTACGTGTCTCCCGTAGCCGGTACGGTTGATTGGGACGATCCCATACGTGTGGGCCGCAAGCGATCCACGAGATCAGCCCTGTTATGCTCACGCGGTTCCAATCTGCCTGTGCGAAAAGGGTGGCCAGCCGAGAGGGCTTTTTTATGGGTTGTAACTGTTGCCAGTTGAAACCCAGGGACTGAAGGCAGGGCCCGTCCAGCTTGCGCCATGGGCAAATCCTGCCTAATGTCGAACTGTCGACATAGTCCCTCCCACTCGAATTCTTGGCTTTTCCCGCCATGGGGATTGCTCATCAGCTTCAGTTCGCAGGTGATACTCCGGCCTTTCCGAGTAGAGCACCGCAAAGAATTACGGGTATAAACACTAGACCTTGGTCTATACCGTAGTCTCTTGAGTCTGTATGGGACGTTTGCGAAATACCGAGGATCAGCTCCATCCCGAACGACGGACGATGCAAGACGATCAATTTATTCATGCGACAAGGCGACAAGTATCACCACGTGTGGATAAAAAGTTTCAGCAGACTGTTGTACGATCAATTGAAATGCCCGTGCCTTACGTCATCTACGCCGACTTCGAAGCCCTCGTCAAAAACATCGACACTGTTGCTCCATACCCGGAAAAAATTTCACGCACAAAATGCATGAGCACAAAGCCTGCAGGTTTGGTTACGTGGTGGTTCGATGCGACGGGAAAACGAACGCTCAAGACCCAAGACAACCGGCGATCTTACGACGACAGCACTCACTGCCACGTGTGCGCCAAACCCGTGCGGCGATTCCATGAGAGATCATTGTCACGTCATCGGTAAGTACAGAGGGGCCGCTCACAACGCGTGCAACTTGAAGCTCAAAATCAATCCCAAAATCATCAAAATCCCCGTCGTGTTTCACAATCTTCGCTGCTACGATTCTCACTTGATCATGTAGGTCATCGCGAAGGTCGACGGTAACCTAACGTGCATCCCCAACAACATGGAAAAATACATCTCCTTCTCGTTAGACGGTCTGAAATTTATTGACAGCTGTCGTCTCTAGACAATCTAGTGAACGCCAACGACCCTGATGACTTCGACATCAACAATTGATACACCGACGCCGAAACTTGACCTCTGCTGCTGAGGAACGGTGTCTATCCCTACGAATATATGGACGGCTGGTCCAGGTTCGACGAGACTCGATTACCTCCCATCGACCGCTTTTACAGCAACTTGACCGAATGGAACATCACCCCGGATGATTACGAGCACGACCTCAATGTGTTGGACAAACTGGGCTGCAAGAATTTGGGCGATTATCACGACCTGTACTTGAAAACCGACGTGCTGCTGCTAGCCGACGTGTTTGAGGTATTTCTCATCCCCCGGTCTCTCTTGGGACGCCTTGTTGAAAAAGACCGTTGTGGAACTGAAACTATTGACGGATTACCACATGCACCTGTTCATAGAGAAAGGCTTGCGAGGCAGGATTTCCATGGCATCGAAATGCTACGCAAAGCCAACAACAAGTATGTTCCCGGTCACGACTCAAGCAAACAAAACAAACACATCCTCTATCTTGACGCCAACAACCTTGTCGCTGGGAATAAAACTCACGAAAATTCACAGGGCGCTCGAGTTCGATCAAAGTTCTTGGATGGAGCCTTACATCAGAATGAACACGGCTTTACGAAAGCTGGCCACCAGCGATTTTCAGAAGACTCTGTACAAACTCATGAATAACTCAGTGTTCGGCAAGACAATGGAGAATTTGAGAAAACGCGTTAACGTGAAACTAGTCCGATTGAGCGAGGAAGAAAAACTCAGGAAACTGATAGCCAGCCCGGCATTCAACCGAAGCAAAATATTCGATGACGATTTGATGGCGCTGCACATGAACAAAAGCCACATCAAATTCAACCGGCCTGTTTATGTGGGGATGAGCATCCTCGACTTATCCAAACACTTGATGTACAACTTTTACTACAACGAGTTGAAAAAGCAGTACGGCAACAAGTGCGAAGTGCTGTACACGGACACGGATTCCCTGCTGATGGAAAATCACACCGAGGACGTGTACGAGGACATGAAGAAAAACATGCACCTGTACGATATACATACATACACCTTAATTAGGTTAATTAAGGCTTTGGGAAGGACTTGATCCCATTCCACTATTGTGTATACTACTCGCTTAGTTGGAACGTCTCTTCAATGTTTCCATCGCACAGCTTGGTCTTGTCAAAGGAAAGCAGTAAATGCATTAAGGAGTAATGCAGGATAAGGTAAAAATTATAAATATTTCAGAAACAAGGAGGTTTCAAAATGGATTTAAGCAATGAGAACTTAATTAGTCTGAAGTAGTTGAGGAACATGATAATAATGGAAACAGTGGCAATGAACCACATATTGAGGCGCACACGGATGTGTAATGTGAGAAAAACAAATTTTGAAAACGACAAAATAGATGTACATACACAATCAAGACATTTGGTCATCTGGCTATTACATACAAATGAGTTGAACAATCCACTGTGGCTAACAACAGCTAACAGACAATGCAATATAACATATGTTCACTTGACTTTCATTCAGGTGGCCTCAACATACATGGGATTGCTGAATAATATTTATGTTGAGGGGAGACATGCATATCCTTCAACCCACACACTCACATAAAAGTAAAGCAACTAACCTGGGTTGATAGATGGTGGAGGAGGAGGAGGTAAGGGCCTTCCCTCCTTCATGGCAACAGTCACTCCTCTAGCAGCTTTCACTGTGTTCATAAAATCTTCATGCTGAGCACGCCAGTTGGATCGGGAAGGGGGCACATCCTACAAGCCACAAAAAGAGAGAGAAATAAATCTTCCTTGAACAACAAGAATATGTTCATATACCTGAAAGAGCCTAGCAATGGAACTTGTTGCATGAAAACAACGACTTCGGCTAGTCCATCAATTATGATGTTGGAAATGTTAACTATAAGCTATATATGTTAACTGGAAGCTCAAGCAAAGTCAACTGAAGACATTCTCTTGTCTTGGAGCTAGAACTAGTCTTGGAATCAGTGTAGCGGGGGTTGCTTGGGCAGCTGTCCACTGTGTGAGGACAAGTGTTACAAATATACAATTTCTTGTTTAAATTTTCAAACCTTTCAACTGATCCTATCTCGATTTATGCACTTATCCCATGGTTGGAAGGTGGATTGGAAATTACCCCATTCTGTAGTAAAACAACAACCTTGAGATGACAAGGAGGCTGACCTAGTATTCCGATCACTGATCAGATTGTAGGTTTGAACTTGTGATGTGTTGCATGTGTTTTTCATGCATTCAGTTAATTTCCACCTGCAATGGATAACAGGTGGAAATTAACTGAATGCATAAAACAACGATGGTTGTTCTAGAGACTTCTGCTGTAGAGGCTGTGGATAGTGGAATACAAAGTCACTTTTAAAGTTGACAATGGTCTTCTAAAGCACTGAGGTAGATCTTTAGAGGAATGACGGCAGAGCAAGAGATCCTCAATAATGTCAGGCCCAAGGATGGCAGATAGCTGCAGAATGGAAAATAATCTGTTGATCAGGCAGTTGATTATTGGTGATGAGACAAAGACCCAGGAAGACCTTGCCATGAGCTTTCTTCCACTGAAATGTCCACTGAAATGTGGGCTACTATAGCTAAAATTAAGACTGTAGGATGATCGATCACCTTGGCAACTGTTAGAGTAACCTTTGGCTCTTAGAGATCTTTGAAGATGCACCAAAGGTTAAGCTGTAATGTCTGTATAGACCCATTGGTTAGAGTGAGGGTTGGAGTGAGGCTGCATCAGCAAGTCGTCTCTTGGAAGGACAGAGGGTTTTGGTATGTGATACTTGTGAGACAAACTTCTCACTGGCCAAAAGGTCACAATCAAAATCAGATAAATCTTCTTGGTTGACTGAAGTTTGTCAAGTACTTGCAGAACAAGGCCTGCAGCAGGAAACACATACTGAATATTACCGTAGGTAAGCCAATCTCATAGATATGTCACCCCATAACTTGACTAACCCAAACTAATGGGTTAGGGTCCTCAATAACTGATAAAATAAATGAAAAAATGTTAAAATAACAAAGATGCTGCTAGCATTTTTTAAGTGGCAGATGTATGGTGCATCTGCTGAGGTTACATGGCCTGATTCTGCAAGCACCTGGCCACTTCCCCCTGACACACAACTGATCGGTACCCACGCCGAAGGCGGGATGAGATGGAAGGACTATTACAACGCTGTGGATGACAACACACAACATACTGCCTCGTCAAACCTGAAGAGGGGCGAGGAATGTGCATAAAACAGAACAAAAATGATAAACACTCAACAGGCTGATCACAGGGCGGCAGCATAGGCTGAGGTTGGAAATGCATTCATCCAGACATTCTGCATGATGCTCTAGTGTTATATGCCATGGGGAGTGCACATGAACTGGTGAAGTTAATGTTTGCTAGCCTTGTTCAGGTCGTTGGCATTTGTAGGTGACAAGCAAGAGAATGATTTCAGGTGCATGTTTCATGGTCTACCAGAACAAGATGCATGGTTTGCACAAACTTCCAGTGACTGCCGACAACAATGGAGGAAGTGTTTGGGCGAAAGATCTTTCACTGTTCATGGGCTCTAAAGGTGTACAATGAACACTATGCGTAGTCATAGGTGCCGCATAACGTTACAGTTGGTGACAAAAGCGGGAGATGTAAAGAAGAGTGATAGGTGGCGCATAGCGGTCGTAGCTATGTGTTCATCATGCGTATGATGTAACAGTTAGTGACAATACTGGGAGAGGAAGACAAAGGTGACAGGAAAGTTACATTTTTGACATCATAGTTAGTAAATGCATTATGGTTCAGTGCCCAAAGACATACTGACCTACATTGGAAAGGTTACAAAATTATACTTTTGAATTAAGCTTAGGTTTAAAAAGCCTCAAAAACATTTGTTCCTTTTCCATCCATAATTCTTTATCATTGTTCAGCAATTGATAAAATGGAAAGGTATGTGAAACCATAACTGAAAAACTAAAATCGAAATGTTTTTAAAGTGAACATACTCCAATACCGTATTTGTTGGCTGAACATGAAGCATATCTGAGAAAGAATCACATGTATTCCATATGGCAAAATACTCTCAGTGAAAGAAAAGTTGCTTTCTATAATGTTTACAAACTATACACATATTAGATATTTACAAAGAATGGCTTAACAATGACAAACCAGTACTGCCACACAAATTTGGGATACATAAGAACCGAAGGAAGAGACCCAAAGAGTTGGGTGTCCAAACTGAAGCAAGACTTCTGCAGAAAAGACTACTAATATACGAAACCAAAATTTGTAAAATAGCAAATGCATGGATTTTGCATTTCAGGAGGAAACTTCAACTCAGGTTCAGAATTTTCTTGAAAAGTGATGGAAAGAAAATATTTAAAAGGAAGAAATTAAATCAGTGGAAATATGGAGTTGAAAGGAAACATTGTTCCACTCATATGCTGAGAGGTATTGCAAAGAAATATATCGATATATATATATATAGGCAAATAGTAGACCTCATAAGGTCATGACTTGAATAGTGAAATTGTAATAAGGTAATTCTACAAACATTAACATGTACAACTGATAAATATTCTTCAAACATTATAATTAATATTGTTTCAACTACTGATACTTACAATTACCATTGAACAGATCTGATTATCAACATCAATACACCTGCTTAAAATTTGTACAAATCCAACTTTATTTATTATAGGATATTTATATAGTGCACATATCCACGCAACTAGTACATGCTGAAGGCGCTGATATTTTTTCCCCTCGATCACTGGATGTCAGTCTCAACTGCACATCGTATTATCAATCTCAACTCCCTGGGGCGTATACAACTCATGCAGACACCTAGGCGCACCGAGTTGTTGAGGCTTTCCCATCCTTACGAGGTACCCATTCATAGCTGGGTGGACTGGGACACATAGTCACAATATTTTGTCCAAGTTTACTGCACGTTGCTGTACCCGCAACTAGGTGTTTGCAAATATACATGTGGCCATCATCTGGTCACATACCAACTGATTCGTGGGTTCTTTTAAGTGCACAGGCTTGTGTACTGTACGTTAGGGGTTGTGACAACCCTGAAAAAGTCAGCACACAAAGCTGACTCCAAGGTTTTCACATCCGGTCACAGGTAGGCTTGATCCCGACACCTCAAGCTCGCTGGATCACTAGCCGGATGCCTTAGCCAGTTAGCCCACCATGCCCCCAAACTTACTGATTATTCCATGTATAACCAAACACTAATGTTGTGCCCAAAAATCTAGGTGCTTTACTCACATAAACAGATGCCTCAAAGTAAGCATTTCAGACAAGAACTTCACCGACATTATCATATTTTTTTTACTTTCAGTGAAAATCTTCCCAATTTTGCTACAATATCAGGAATAGATGTTCTTCCTAGTTCACCAGCAAAGGCCCATTAAATTCGCATGGTGACTGACAGCTGGTCCCGACAGTGTGATGGTAGAGCGTTGGCCTCAGATTCCAGCGGGTGGAGTGCGAGTCGGGCTAGCGTCGGAAACTTTGGCAAGTGAGGACCCACACAGCGAGCGTTCCTACACCGAACGCGATGACCAAGGTAAACAGCGAGCTTAGTAACACCGTGCCGAGTCGGCACACTGTTACTAAGACAAACAAGATGGCCACCCAACCTAACAACGGCGCTCCTACCAAGAACCCCGTTGCTAAGTGTCCACCCAACCTAGCAACGCCTGATAAAGCGCTACAGCGTTTAGACCGGGAGTTAGATGTAGAATATTTTTTCCATTATAAAAATCTCATTTTAGCTAGGGTAACCCTTTTTTTCAGCAACCACAAATCCATTTTTCAACCAGCAAAATTATATAGTTCTAGTCCATCTAGAAGGGGTGCCTGAAGGGGACCGTGGAAACTGGTTTGGGCGTTTTTCTCATCGACGGGTTGGTCGGCCGGTGTGCAGTGTTTCCAGGTCTTGTAAACAACCTTCCAGAGGAACATGGCAGCTATCGAAAGGTAGGTTCACTTTTGGGCTGATTCTAGCATCTGGCGCACCTTATGGATATCCAGACTCGTCTCTTCTTGTTCTTCCTCTATTTCCTCCTGGAGTTCTTCGTCGGTGTCGTCGTCCAGCCTAGACAAGATGTTGACCAACATCGTCACGGTTTGCTCTGCATGAGCCGTCAACATCGTCGCATTTTGCTCCACACGAGGCGACAACATCGTCGCGTTTTGTTCCACACGAGCCTCTAGCCTCCCCAAGAGGTCGTAGAAGTCCTGGATGGTGGGCGATGTCGGAGCTATCTCACCGGCGGGCAAGAGGGTCGAAGGTTCTGCAGCAGGCTCTTGCCATAGCTCGTACAGCCTTATGGACCCAATACCGAAGCACTTTTTGACCTCGCATGCTGGGAGCACACCGCGAAGGGAGCGTATTTCTTGGATCTGGTCCGAAGACAAATCTCTTTTTGGTGGCATGGTTGTTTTTTTTCCTGGGTATATATATCCCATACTTCCCATATGTCTATATGGAAATCCCAAACCTGTCCCAGTCCTCTCCCATTTTTTCCTGGGAAATCCCCTCCTCTCCCAATTCTATCTCAATCCTCTCCCATTTTCCCCAAGGAAAACTAGTCAAACTCAAAGCAAATCCAAACAAAGTGATAGCCTAGCTCGAAATCGCTGACCTACTTTCTGTATAATGCTGTGTGTGTGGACTCGAGTCAGCTCAGTGGTTAAACATTCCTGTGGCTGAGAATGGAATATGCGAGGATGTTAAAAC